TGTGTATTAGCGTCCTCCGTACTAATGTATTTTTAAATTCTGTTCGTTATAATATCTCTATATTTATTATTTTGTTCGTGTGCTCATCTCTTATGCTGTGTCAGTAATTGGCCTTCTGGCTGTTGATACAGAACACGAATATTAAAGAATTTAATTGGACCGAATTATTATTGCTTTGTTGTTGAGATTAGACACAGTCCTTCAGCTAGATACGTCATTGCTGCAAATTACACGTAGATTCTTTACATTTTTGGCAAAAATATTGTCTGCTTTGAAGACATTTTCTCCATACGAGAAAATGTTTAGGTTACATGTACGAGTGTTTAGACTTTTTACTTATTTTTGTAGTTTTCTGTTCTTTGCGTTTAATTCGTTTTCCTATGCCCGCTCTGTAATTGGCCTCTGTAGTTGTTAAATTAGCATGTTAAAATAAAATAAAAATTATTATTCAGTTCTAAAAGGTTCTGACGACGGTAGTTTACACTTAAAATTATTTGTTGTCAGGACTTTTTCCATCGTCTGTTTTTAAAATTCATCGCCCTGATGACGGAGGCAGTATGACCTCTGAAACGTTGGTTAACATCGACCAGACTACACAGCGCAACAACCCAGAAGACAGAAATCTTCATGTTCTTAACTGTCTGTAGGTGCCACTGAGAGGCCTTCTTGTTCGTGACCCCAATCACGAATTATGTACGTTACTTTACGTAAATTACGTGTTGCGGCTTCGCAATGGGATATTCAGGTGATTCATACGTTCTTAAACTATTACTCATTATGTTCTTCCATGTTGTTCTCTTTGCCTTGATACTTTTTCCAGAAAAGGAAACAGACATTTTTGCGCCTGTACAACAGAACGTTCACCCTGGGGTTTTATTATTATCTAGTGTTCTGTCTGACGACAGGTCCATATGAACAGGATCCTTCCATCCTTTTTTCGGACTGGGACCTGTTCATATACGTTCTTGGCAGATGATCCAGAAGTGGTTTGCCATTGCCTTCTTCTGTGTGTGAATGGAGTAATTGTTGGGATGCCACGGAGAAAACTCAGTGTTGCCTAGACCACGGCCTTGCCCAACACAAGTTATAAATGCGAACCCGAGACCCCAGGATTACAAGGCCAGCGTCCTAACCGCTAGACCACCGTAATCTCTCGTTGTATACCGCGATCTCTGAATGTGAATTAATTTTGAATTATTTACGAGCTAATGGAAGACACAGTAAGGGGCCATTTTAGTATTTGGGAATGACATAAAAATGCAGGCCTAAATCTGTACCTCAAGCGGAATTGGAGCCTGCGAGGTCCAAGATTTTACGTGCCCTCATTCCTTTATTTGTGTTTCTCTGTTACTAATCGCTTTACTACTATAACATGCGTGAAGGTCGTTACAAAGTCGCGATGGAGAATCGGCCTCACCTGCGCTGAACTTCGCCTTCCTTTCACGTTGTCCTTGGTTGCGCGCGTCTCCCAGGTTCATGCGCCCGGAGTAGAATAAGTAGCAGTTCGCGCAGGGTCACGCATTTCTTTCTTTCTTTTTTTGTCAATGTTGTTTACATTGAAGTTATTTCCTTTCGAATAAGAAAGCCTCGTGCCGATTCCTAAATGGCAGACTTCGTGATCCGAGGATAGAGCATCCCTTCCGTCTTTAAATACCGAGGCTAAACATTTTATAGTACGGATCCCAGGGCCTGTTTTAAGGCTTCCTGAAGCTGCTTGTCAGCGCCGGCCTCAAGAAAAATGGTGACCTGAGCGAACACAACTCCATTCCCCCCCCCAAAAAAAACTGTTTTGTAAGATTGTTAACAGTTTGTACGTTGAGTAATTACTGGTATAAATCAATACGTAACAATAATGATAATAACTAAACAAAATGGAATTTGTCTCTTAATTGATATAACAATACCAACCGATAGAAATGTAATTAAGAGAGAAACGGAGAGGATCTTGAAATACAAGGACCTTCTCATTGAAATACAGCGATTCCAATAATTATAGGAGCAACTGGAACCGTCTCCAAGTAACTCGAAAAATATTTGGTCAACATCCCGAGCGAAGACGACATTAGGGAAATTCATTTTAGGATCTTCATATATCATTCGAAAGACGCTCGTGTAAAATACATGTCTCAAGCGAAATCTGTTTAATGTAAGTAACACATATTAAAAAAAATGTATTTCAAAAATAGCTGCTGCACTATGTACCTAAGGGGCAAGGTTTATCTCAGGTACTAACTAACTAACTAGATGGCTTACCGAACCCGAAGGTTCATCACCGAATTAACCAAAGCCCTCCACCGGACCCTGTACTGGGCCAACAAAATCCAGTCTCCTTCATCTCCTATCTCCCATAGATCCCGCCTCACATTATCCTCCCATCTACGTCTAGATCTCCTCAGTAGGCTCTTCCTTTGAGGCTTCCCGACCAGTACCCGGTGCACACCTCTTGTCCCATCCATGCGCGCTACATGCCCAGCCCATCTCATTCTTCTCGACTTAATCACCCTGACAATATTGGGGGAGGAGTACAGATTTTTAAGCTCGTCATTATGCAGTTTTCTCCATGTCCCATCGTCTTCTCTCAAACACCTGCAATCTGTGTTCCTCCCTCTGAGTGAGAGACCATGTTTCGCACCCATACAAAACAACATGCAAAATTATTGTTTTGTACATTTTAATCTATAGCTTCTTAGAAATCAGACATGAAGACAAAATATTTTGATGAAGTTAACCCATTTTCTGGATATTATCCATCGTCCAACACTAAATAAAATCAATAAAAGCCACGACGTTTCTGAAATGGGAATCCATCTCCATCTTCAGGTAAAACCTAATCTGCTGGGCCCAATCGATAGAGCTAATCCCTATTTTGAACTGAGAAGTAACACATATTTCCTGAATTTAATGTGCTCCTAAGTATCCCAGGAACATAATTTTTATGTAATTGTTGTTCCCAGATATTTGAAATTTGTAACACTTAAAAAGGATTTATCAGCCACCCTAAGATAATTTTGCCCGCCTGTCGTCTGATGACGAGATACCAACATGTACTTGGTTTTTTCTGAATTTACTTCCAGCCCCACCTGTCTACTAGCCTCTAGTAAAACTTCTG